CAGGCTGTGCACAGGCAGGTCCCCGAGGCTAAGGGGCAGTGTGGGGCGCCGGCGGGGAGCTGGAGGCGGAAGGTTGGGGTTCTGGGGTGTGGCCCCCGCCCCTCGCACGCTCTGTTCTGCTCTCCTGTCACTGTCTCTCTCCCCTTCTGCAAACCCATTTCCTGTCGCTTCCGTTACTCTCGCAGCGCCCAAAGCCGGCCGCCCGGGGACCCCAGGCCTCTGCAGCTGTATCTGCCGGCCTCGTGCTTCCCCTGCCCGGCGCGGCCTGGCTGGGCTCTGGAGGGAAGCTGGCTGCCGCAGGGGTAGGGCTGCGAACGGGGGCTGCGTGGGCGGGAGGGGGGCCGGAGCCTGTTTGTTAACCTTGCGGCGATGGCTGTTAGCCTCACCCGGGAGGGAGGCTGGCCTAGTGGCGAGGGCGTGGGAGAGCTGCGTGCGAGCGCCGGCTCTAGGGCGGCTGCTGGGTCCACAGGGCGCGTGGGGGTGGGGGGGGGTGGGGTCCTGCCTTCATCTGTGTAGGTTCAGGCCCAGGGCTGTGTCTTGTCTGTGCAGCGCCGGGCATGATGGGGCCCTGATCTCAGTTTGGGGGGGTGGGTCTGCGCAGCGCCCGGTGTGACGGGGCCCTGATCTCGGAGGGCGGGGGGCGGGTTCTGTGCAGCGCCCGGTGTGATGGGGCCCTGATCTCAGTTGGGCGGAGGGGACGGGACGTGTGTGTCTGTGCAGCGCCTGGCGCGCTGGGGCCCTGAACTCAGACATTTCTAACATGAACAGGTTGGTGAGTGGGGGGTCCGCAGGGCATGTGATGGACGGGCCCTCGTCCCTTGCTCCCCCCGTGCACCATGGTTTGAGAGTCGCCCCCCTTCCTGATTGTGAGCCACTCCCTGCCCCCAGCCGCTGTGGGTCTGAGCTGGTCTCCCCTGCTGGCCTGGGACTGATCAGAGCATCGCTGTAGGAAACCGGAGAGAGATCTGGGTGGTGGTGGGCGCTGGCTCCCATCCGGCCCCAGGGCAGGGACTGGCTGGCTCAGGGGGGCAGGGAATGGGGCCCGGGGCCTTTCCCCCTATGGGGTGCCGGCTCCCATCCGGCCCCGATCAAGTTGCAGGAGGGGGGTGTCTATGAAGCATCTGGCCCTTGTCGACGTGTGTGTGTGGGGGGGTGTCCCTGATCTCTGTCGTTGCCCCAACCTCACCTGTCCAGATCTCTAGGGCGGGGTGTGTGACTGACCCACATGGGGCTGAATTCGGGGGGGGGGGAACTCCGAGGGGAGGGGTGGGGCCTTGGGCAGAAGGGGTGGTCCAGGCTGGGGACTAGCCTCCCCGAGCCCGGAGTTCGGTCGCCGCCCGTGCTGTGGGGGATCTGTGGCCGCTGACCCCCCCTTTCCGCGCCCCCCCGCAGGGCGCCATGTTCTGGAAGTTCGACCTGCACTCCAGCTCGCACATCGAGACGCTGCTGGAGCGCGCCGACCTGACGCTGCGGGAGCTGCTGGATGAGGACGATGTGCTGCAGGAGTGCAAGGTGGTGAACCGCCGGCTGCTGGACTTCCTGGTGCAGCCGCAGCACATGGAGGCGCTGGTGACCTGCGTGACCGAGGAGCCCCCTGCCGAGCTGGACGAGCGGCTGCGCTACAAGTGAGGGGCTGCGGGGCGGGAGTGAGGGGCATTGGCAGGGCTGGGGGAGCCCAGGGCCGGGCTAGCAGAGGCTGTGGGTCGGGAGTGAGGGGCACCGGCAGGGCTGGGGGAGCCCAGGGCCGGGCTAGCAGAGGCTGCGGGTCGGGAGTGAGGGGCACCGGCAGGGCTGGGGGAGCCCAGGGCCGGGCTAGCAGAGGCTGCGGGTCGGGAGTGAGGGGCA